ACCCTCTCAATTTGTAATTATCTACAGTTTCAGTAGCTGGTTGTTTGAGACAGATTATTGTGTTTGGTAGCCAGTGAAACATTTAATATTTCTGTCCATAACCTAACCCACAACTGTAAACTAGATATCTTCATAATTCTGTTGCCTTTCTCTTAGTCACTTATTTCCTGTCGTGGTATGTGTTCTACTTGGTGATAACCTTAAATTTCATATATTTAGCCAAGGTGAAACAAGAAGTACTTTCTACATTAGCAACAGCAATTAATACTGCAGTTAGTAAGCTTCTAGTCTTTAATACGTACAAACTGATTGTACTGGACAACAAAATAAGTGTTCCAGGAAGGCCTAAAATAAAGCACCTAAAATAGAGATCTCAGAACTTTTAGGTGTTATTTGTATATTTCTCAAAAAATAAAAGAAATGTGTGCAGAGAAACTCCTCTAGGATGAAATTCTATGAAAAATATTTTTTTGAAAATAGTTATCATCAGGAAGTAAGCTGTTCAGTCTTTGCTAGCAGTTATACTGAATCTGAAGATCAGTTTTTCTGGAAAAAGTGCTTGGGTGCGTTGAATCTTCATAGCTTGACTGAATGACTTGGACTTACAATATGCCTTGTGTATAGTGCAGTTCATTCTGTTGCTTTTTTGTAGAGGTTCCTATTTCTGTGTTTAGTAAAACAGGAGTTTCTAACTGAAAATGCCAGGACCGAAGTTGCTCAGATCGTAGCCATTTATAGGCTTTGTCAGCAACTAAGCATTCCATTCCAACGAGCTGATTTATGCTGAATTGAAAGAACTGTTTTCGGCAGGGATGTGGCTTATATATCAATTATATTTAAACTGTAGTATCCTGTTTATATGGGAGAATAATGCTTTGAATGGCATTAGTAGAGATAAGATTTTGTGTAGAAGTAGACACCTGATGTCACCTGAAAACTGCATTTTTCTTCTCCTTAGTAGAGAGCTGGAGGACTTGATCAGTACAAAGGTTGTTACAGAACATGGAGGGGTTTTGGCAGTCTGAATTATAACCATCTCTGAAGGTATTTAAAAGATATGTAGGTATGGTGCTTGAGGACATGGTTCAGTACAACTTGGCAGTGCAGGATTATTGGTTGGACTCGATCTTAAAGGTCTTCTCTAACTGAAATGTTTCTATGGTTCAGGGTTATGGTTCTGATTTTTGGATTTTTCTTTTTTTTAACTATATATTTAAGGCTGTAACTTGATTAGCAAATTAACTAAGACTGCATTTTAGCCATTTCCACTGTGATCTTTTTAGAACTTTTTTTCCCCCTAATATTGCAACATGGTGCTTTTTCAGTGGATATTTATATTTGTTAAAGTGTTAGCACAAGGTGTTTGAATTGCATCAGAGTATTCAAGTCTGATGAAAACCAAACTACATGATGAAATAACGACATGCCAATAAGCTTCCAGTTTAATAGCACTTTCTCAGCTATAGTTATTAGTCACCTTGTGAGGTTTCTTCTGACAACATACCTTGACCTCCCCATAGGTTTCAGCAATTTTGTTTTAACTGCTGTATAGGGAAGAATCATCCAGGTTGCTTGCTTAGCCATAGAGTCCATTTCTACTAAAAGACAGTGTTATTCCTCGAGTACCTTGTTCCTCTTGACTTACCTCTTAACCTTTATGTACACTGATTATGCCAATACAACTGTTAGAGGAATTAAATTGTTTTAACAGTAGTTGAATTCACCTTTCAGTGGCTCTGAACAAGTTGTGTTCCCATGTTGGAAATGTGGTTTTCTATTCACAAGTGCAGTTTAATGATGTGTCTTCAGCTGAGAAGTACCATTTATAATGATAAATAAGAGACTACAGTTAAGGAGAAAGGTTTCATACAGTGCCAGAAACTCTCAATAACTCTTCTAAGAGCTAAATTTAGTTTGTTCCAGGAATGTTAGGAAAAATTCACTCGTGTATGTGCATGCATATTTAGTATACGACACACACTTTATTACTGCCATTACTGAAACAGTACATTAGTGTTAGGCTATGCTGAATGAATAATCTAAAGTAGAAGTAGTACATGTTCTCTTTGCTTTCAACAACCGATGTGTTAATTTCTTCTGGCTTCCAAAATCCACTGTTGAATTTGGCATGAATTTTACTTTAAGATCGTGGGCTTCTTTTTTTCCCTGCATGTTACCAGTTCAGCTTTCATTGTACAAGATACGCTCTCCTGCCAAAAAGTAATAACCAGCTTTTGTCATGGTTACTTGCCCAACTGCTAAAAACTTTCTTTGGGCAATTACACAGCATGGAGAATGCTTGTTGCCAGTCCCCCCTATCGTTTCCCTTCCACACTCCATTTATCTCATTGCTGTACATTCCTAAGTGCCTAATTCTGTATCTTTTTGTGTGTACTACTTTAATATATTTATGTGCTTTTTCACATAGACATTTTTGCACAGGCACTTATCTTCAGGGACTTTTTTACAGTAAGTAAAAAACGTTTAAGGAATAGTTTAGTAGATGTTTAAGACAGTTGAAAAGATAAAATTGTGTAAGATTTGTATACATGAGTTAAATCTGTTAACTGCTCTTTAGGAAAAGATATTTAGTACAAAAAATATTTATTTAAACTTTAAACCTACTGCTACAAAAGTTGAATAACTCTAAAATGCCAATATTAAATAGCAATGCTAATAGATGGAAAATCAGTCAATTTGGATAATAAAATAATTATTAAATCATTGTGTTAGATGATTCTTAAAGGAACATTTCATATACATATGTATGTGTGTTTATGTATTAGGCAGTGATACTTCTACTAAAAATGCTGGGACTTCCTAAAACCTAATTCAAATTAAAGCTTTTGTTTAAAAAATAATTCTTGGAATTATTCTTGCTGTGGAAAAGTTAATATGTCAAAGTTGTATGTTGAAAACCACACAAAAGACAAAACAGCTCTCTAAGCAGTGATCTGAGCATTCACGGTGTATATTTTTCTGATGGTGTAATAAAACCAGAAGTTTCTTAATCAGTTTCAGAAAATGCTTTAATTTAAAAAACTTTATTTTCATTCTCTCATTTCTTATTGTTAATGTTTCATACTTAATTTTTGAAACTCGTAATGAGTTGAAATTATTCAAAAAACTAAAGTAGGAAGGGCATTGGACATGCAGTTTTATTATCACTGTAATTCTTTTACTCTTTGCAAGTTTGTTGGTAGTGCATTGTCCAGCCTATCACACTTCACCTTGTTTCTTTTTTTTTTTTTAAACTAGAAATTTAAATTGATAACGAGGGAGGATTATTGCATGATGAGCCTCAGGTGAAAAATAAAAGTAATTTCCACAAACTTTGACTACCTGTCCCTTTGAAATAAAGCGTTTATATTGTATAATACTGAAGAGTTAAAATCTGGCTACCTGGAAGCTCAGTCTCACAGTGTTTTCTAAAATGATACTTTAGAGCCTTGTGCAGACTAAGGATAGACTTGACATCCTAGTTCAGTGTGTATTTTTGAAATTTTACTCTTCTGTGTTCCATCAAGATTTGTCTTTCTGTGCAGCAGACCAAAACAAAGTACATACTTGATGCATGGATTTGACCCCTTCTAGCACTCTCAGTTGGAGATACCAGTAGCTGAATTTCAACCAGTTTAAAATGTCACTAGGGTTTTTTTTTTTTTGTTTTGGTGTGAGTTTTTGTTTGTTGGTTGGTTGTTTTGTTTTTGTGGTTTGTTTGTTTGTTTGTTTGTTTGTTTTTTCCGCTGTAATAAGTTGGAAAATGCTTAGTGTTCTACAGTGCAAGAACTTTTTAAAAAGCTTAGTTGTAGAAATTTTTTTTTGGTGGGAAAGGAGGTAGTGATACAGAGTGGGAGTATATAAGCAAAGCATGACCTTGCCTCGAAGGTATAATATTTTTAACTAAGAAAGTATCTTGACTTTTATATTTAGATAAATCTAAATATATTGCACTTTTTATATCCAAAAGTAGAGGAAAGGAAGTCTTAGCACTTGCTTTGCTCATATCCAGATGTGGCTGATTAATTCATTTATATCTGTATATCGTATGACACTGTTCTTCTTTACCTTGACTCTCCTATGCTTACTCCACTAGCATATTTTTAACCAAAGTACATAATTTTTTTCTGGCTTGCGTTCAGACTTCTTCCATCCAACTGACTAGCTATGTATTAGATATGTTCAAGAAAAAGGAACTCAATGTGGAATTTTGCTGGAATTCTGTGTAAGAATTCTGGGCAGTATTCCAAATAGTGTCTTTCTGGTGCTTTGTACACTGGTATTAATGCTTCCCTGATTCTGGTAGAAAAATCTTATCTGGCTCTTTCTCCACTCCCCCGTCTGTGTTGGCAGCATCGTGTTCATTGGTTTTTCTTTTTCTGTGAGTAAGCTAGTAGTTCTTTTCTAGTTTGTCCTTAAATTGTGGATTTCATCATACTTTTGCGATGTCAATTGTCTGGGTCATCACGTTGCTTCAGTGTTATCCTTCCCGCTGTTAATAATGGCTTACTGTCTTGCTTTGATACTCTTCTGCTTTTTCTATCCAGTTCCTTAGTGCAAGCATTCTTAAAAAAACTTCACTTTAGCATGTCTTCTATCAGCTATTCACCACCATTTTTTGTCTTTCAAATAATTATGGGTAACCACTAACTGGATTTTTTTAATGTACTTTAAATTACTTATGTGAGCCCTTTTGAGTCACAATTTAGGTTCTTACATGGCATTGTATATATTGCTTCAGTGAAAGTGAGGGTTTTACTGTGGTTTTTGTCTTATTTGGAAAATGAGTTATTACAGAGGGCTAAATTAGTCTCGCACAGACCACCTTTCATGAAACTAATATTTATCTCTACAGAATTTGTTCTGAACCCTTGAATTTTATTTAGACCAAATAAAGAGATGGCTTACTTATAATTTCATGTTCATAATTAAAAGCATTTTTAATAAAGAACTAAAAATATCAGTAAGCTTTTCAAATACAGTCTGAATATGTCTTTCAGCTAATGGTAATGACAACAAGAAATTCAAAAGTGATGATAAAATGGATGGGGCTCCTTCTCGTGTTCTTCATATCAGGAAATTGCCTGGGGAAGTGACAGAAACAGAAGTTATTGCTTTAGGTTTACCCTTTGGTAAAGTAACCAACATTCTGATGCTGAAAGGAAAAAATCAGGTAATTTGTTGCTTTCTGTCTTTTAATAAGTGTTTCTTTTAAGTCTTTTAATATTGTTAAAATGCTGTTGAAATAAGTCATATAATAGTAAGCATTAAAGAAAAAGATGAGCTTTTGTTCCTTTCAGTTTTTTAATGAATTTACACCAATTTTTAGTAAATTTTGGGGAACAAGGGAAGGGTTGACAGCTACCTAAAGCAAAAGGTTAGCTGTAAGATAAGTACTTATCCCTGGGTCTTCACAAATTAAGTTTTGGAAATCAAGTAGCTTAGCAGATAACGTTGGTATATATGTGTTATCAAACTCTGTTTTTTTATATGCTGTCTGCTTTGTAAATACTGAAAGTTAACTGTTTTAATTACAGGCATTTTTGGAACTTGCTACAGAAGAGGCAGCTATCACTATGGTTAATTACTACTCTGCTGTGACACCTCATCTTCGTAACCAACCTATTTATATCCAGTATTCCAATCATAAAGAATTAAAGACTGATAACACACTTAACCAGGTACATTCACTGTTCAGTAGTATTACAAATGCACGCAGTAGAGGATGAGGCATGGCATGTGTTCTTGGCTCATGTGGTGTATGTTTAAATCATTTGGTTTTGCTCACATTCTAACACTACTGTAGTCTTACCTGTGATCATTCCATTTTGTGACACTGAAGGAGTTTTACTTTCTCTGTGATCTTTCCATTATGATGAATTTTCTTAATTTTTCCTTGAAGTATAAAGATTCTGAGGTGTGTTTTACCTTTAAATAACTTCAGAGTTATTGCCTTAGTTTAGAGACTGTAGGATAATAAAATTAACTTTCTAGTTCTGATATCTGAGATTCCAATGCTGATTTGAATTTCTCCAGTGGTAATGGCTAATGCCAATGCCTACATTCCAGTGCTTCGAATGATCACTCCAGTAGCACTGGTAACCTCAGCTTATGTGATCTGCTGCCCCAGAGGAAGAATACCATAATGATTGCTCTAGAGACAGATGTACTTAGTAACAAAAAATATTTTGCTCAGGACCAATTTCACAATAAATATAGATACATATGTCTGGTTTTAGTAGAACATGAGAATTAGAAAAAGTAACATAGTGACCATTTTGTACAAACTATTGAGAGATAAAAGGCACTCAACTTACCACAAATCAGATGGTTATTTTAAGATTAATTTTTTGTGTTGCATTTTTGATGATACAAAAACAATATAAGTGCCAAGTTACAGTTTCTGTTAATTGTGTTTCCTCTTAGGACACATAAAAAGTAAAGTTATAGCTGTTGCCTTGAAAACAATTTCAGGGTAATCTATTGAAAGACTTTTTGTTTCAGATCAAGTATAGTGTTGATTTTCCTGTTGATCTTTGTAAACATTCCTGTTCCTTAGAATCTTTTGATTATCTGCTAAAAGTGCTTTTTAAAAATTGAGAATCCTCACCCCAGCAACTGTCAGTTACAAAGAAAAATAAATACCCTCATTTACTTTTGACAAAGGAGAGTAGAGGATGAATTCTGTCTGCACATACAGTGGATGGACATATTCCCTAAGCAATGTTCTCTTACACTGTCCTCTGCCTTCTCTCCTAATACTGGTTTTGTACTCCACAGATTCACCTTTCCAATCTATAGGATGTGCTGACTTTTCAGCAGCTTTTATGCCACCATACATATCAATACCCAGTCTTAACATATATTCTTAGTCTTTGGGAACTTAAAACTAAGTTTAATTTAGAACTAAATTATGTAAATGAGTACTTGGCAGTAAGTATTCTAGTATCTCACAAGGCATTCTGTAATGTATAAGATGGATCTGTATTTGAAGGCTTTCTCTTCAACTCAGATTCATTTTAAAATTGTTTTTTTCTGGATGTTCAGGCAGGGTTTAAGAAGACAGAATGTTAGTATGTGTAACTAGAAAGATAGGATAAAAAATTAGAGAAAGGTGCAGATCCCTTATTTATAAAGAAGATAGAAAAAACCCTGTTTAACCAAGGGGTACTTTAAACAGCCAGACCTTTAAACAGCCAGGCTGGAAAGGTTCCATTAAGCTGTGCTATTCTAAACTTCTTGGTAATAATAGCTTTGGAGAGTATTTTTACTTAAATGCTCAGAATGAGTTGGTTCTGAATAAACAGATTCAAAAGGGACAATTGAAGTCTTCGTTTCAGTTTGTAATTCTGTGAAAATCCTTTTCCTGTGAGACATCAAAACACCAAGAGGAATATTTAAACTCAGATATAAAACAAATATCTTTTGCTTTATTTTGTGCAGTTTATAGACTCAGGAGAATTGAGAATAGAATGACCACTGTAACTGTAGATCTCTTTAATCATCCTTCTGTCATAAATGCATGGGTTTAGTCCTGCATAGACATTGCAGCATTTAGAAATAAATACTATACTTTAAATGGTATATCTAATCTTTTAAAATTACATTCAATTTTGTAAAAATAAAGAAAAACTTTGCGTACTACTTGCATGTCTTCAAATAGGCTATTTATATATTATGTTATTTTTGTTGTTATTTTTAACTTGTTTCACAAAATACTCATAATTTACCACTGTTAAGTCCTATATTCCTTTATGTATTCACATTGATTTTAGTGGAATGAAATGTAGTGTATAAGCATAGGTAGTGCTAACAAGGGTCTTATGTTAAAATTCACTTCACAAGCTTTGGTTCCATGGCTTATACAGTCTAAACTTTTCAAGTCATCTTAAGAGTGTGTTTTATTTCATATGTGTTTCTGTGCTTATAGAAAGAGTAGAAAGTAATTATGCAACTCAGCCAACTATCTGGGCAGCTTGAAAGTTGTGTGTTTCATACGTTAGGGAAAAGAAGTGGTGTTATCAAAAGATGTTTTCACAGAGTGACAGTAATTGATGTTAAATGTAGAGGTAAAGTTTGTTTTCCCAACTTGTGTTCACTAGGTCTTCTTTTTTTCCTTTCCCCCCACTTTCCTTATTCATTGATTCGTTTCAGTATGAGGAGTATCATGTAAGTTGTGAGACATGAAATTGTGTAGTAGCTCTAATACCTTTAAAATATGCAGTATGCGTTAATATGGTGGTTATTATTTTTACCTGGCATGCTCACTTGTCTCTCTTGTTTTGTTTTGTTTTGCTTCATAAGGCTACTGTAATGAAAGTATTAAATGGAATCCTTTTCTCTGCACTTTTTCTTTCTCAGAAAAAGACATCTAATCTTTCTGATACTGTCAGCTTTGGCAGTGGAAGTAGTTACATAGATGTGTGTTCTTGTGATATCATCCTGTGGTTACCTTTGAATTTCTAAAGTCCTGCTTGTGTTTAAAAACCAAAAAATCCCCACACATGGAGAGGATTTTGTTTTTCTTTTTACAAAAGAGGGTAGATAACAGACACCAGTTTGTTTACTCTTGGATACCTACTTTCTGACATTTGTCAGTCTTGTGTATTATTTCATCGTGTTAACACTGAGAAGTTAGGAAGTGTTAGTTTAGTATTTTCCCTTTCTGTCAGAGCCTTCTACATAATTAAAATGGCAGTAGAATGTTAACTGTGATACAGTCTTTTCAAAATTAAGATACTTCTGGTTTCTGTAGGATTTGGGTTTTTTGTTTGTTGGTTTGCGGGTTTATTTGGGTTTATTTCCTTTAAAGGAAAGAGTCTTGAAACCTACAAAATCCTCACTTCCTTTATCCTTACTAGTAGAACAATAAGCTTGCTACTAGAAAGATTGATATTGGTGCCATTTGAAGCCCCTCCTTACTGTGACATAAAGATTAATGGGTGTTTTCATTTTTGTTGTCTCTTCTCACAGAGTCAGACTGCATTGCACTTACGTTGTGTTACGTCTGTAGCTCTGAGTTTTAAATCAGTGGAGTATTTTATGTTTCTGGAGTTAACTATATTAATATTACTAATTAACTTCAAGCTATTATCTTGAAATATTAAGAAAATCTCTCTTCTGTCATTTTTTTTTTTAAAGCGGGCCCAAGCTGTTCTTCAGGCAGTGACGGCTGTGCAGGCAACAAACGCTCCCATTAGTGGGACCACTGTTAGTGAGAGTGCAGTGACTCCAGCACAGAGTCCAGTACTTAGAATAATTATTGACAATATGTACTATCCAGTAACCCTGGATGTTCTTCATCAGGTAAGTCAAATTTCATTTTAACTTAAGCTATGATTGGGAGAAACACATGTGTAAAACTTTATGATGTTTTTGGCAGATATTCTCTAAATTTGGTGCTGTATTGAAGATAATCACATTCACAAAGAATAACCAGTTTCAAGCTTTACTGCAGTTTGGTGATCCAGTAAATGCACAGCAAGCAAAACAAGTAAGTATAGTTCTCTTTTAAGTCTGGAGATATTCCTGTACCCTAAACATTTGTAAAATGTTAATGTAACAGAGTAACAATGTGTCATATACCTCTACCACATGCATTTTTTGAGATTAAAAAATAATTGGGAGTTACTGTATCATGTTGTTACATTGTGTGAAATCAGTGTTTTCACACAATAGTTTATTTACAGATACTGTGTCTAAAGTATTTTATACATCTGTATGAACAAATAATAAGACTGCACAGAGATGAAATAACATGCAAGACTGCAATTGTGGAAAAAAAATATCAACTGGAAGTAAAAATGTGGGATTTAGCTGGTGATGCATAATTCATTCACTCTAAGCAGCAAATTTAGTAAGCCCATTGGGTTGTTGTTGGTAGATACCTCCTAAGCATCAAAACAAAGCTATGCTTTGTGGATTAGTTACAGGTTTGTGAAAGTATTTAGTTATAGTATCCTAAAAAAATAATCTAGACTCCATTATAACCATAAGTACCCAGAAGAGTGAGGGCAGTTTTGGCTGTGACCAGACTGTGAAGAAGCTTTGCAGTGACGGATGAGCAGGATTGTGCTTTTGTTTTATCGGAAACTCTCCTATCCTGGGTAGGAGAGGGGAGAAACAAGTAACTGGTTTTATTCATTATGGCAGGAGAGAACCTATGGATAAATTACGACAAAGATCAACAGCATGTCATCTAGACCAGATGTTTTTAATTAATTAAATGGGATATGTTCACATTTGTGGCAATAGGAAAGTCAAACCAAAGGCAAAGGGTAGATTTTTATGATTGTTATCATTTTCAAGAGATAAATGGAATTAATTTATATTTTCAAACCTTCACATGCAGTCTGGGTTTGAGGAAGGCTGATTAAAATCTGTGTGCTGGTTAAGTGTTGCTTGGCAGCATAGAAAGTGCTTATTGCCCATAGATGACAGAATAGCTGAGAACTTCACAAAAGCGAAAAGCTCGCACCTCAGGCTAAGTTGGCAATTAATATCTCTTAGTAGAGGAAAGGCAAAAATGGACTTAATTTTCTGTTGTAAAGAATAAGGACTATATTGAAATAAAGACTTCATTAAGTGGTGGAGGATGGTAATTTTTGTCCATATCCCCAAATGAAATACTGGGCATTGAGTAAAAAACTGGTGAGCTGATCAGGACAGGGAATCTTAAAAAATGAGATCTTTTCAAAAAAAGGAGTGTAAGTTTTCATGCTGTTGAGGAAAACAAAGAGAAGGAGAGAGAAGAGACAAGATGATTTGCAGCTTGATTATGGTGATCTATTTTAGTATAATCTACTCCTGAAAAGGGAGCCCCCGATGGTCCAGGGGAAAAGACACTGCACTGTCACTGCAGAGACCCAGGTTCGATTCCCGGTCGGGGCCCCTCCCCGGGCAGCTGGAGCTCGTTAGCCCGTAAGGCAATCC